AAAAGGGCAGCTTTCAGAGAAGTTTCAGGGACTTTGCTGGCACTGTAACAAACCTGGGCACAAGAAAGCTTAATACTGGAAACTTCAACACAGGGAAGATGCCACAGCAGGAAAGACTGCTACCCCGAAAGATTATTGGCATTGTGGAGAGCAAGGACATATGAGGAGCCAGTGTAAGAAAAATACTACCAATAAGTCAGCCTCGGGGAAACCAGTAGTGGTTGGTGTTAAGGGATGCCCACCAACCCCTATTGTGAAAGTTCCAACAGCTAAGTGTAAAATGGCAAGCACACACAGTGTCCACGTGACAGGAAAGCTGGATGGCCAAAAGTGCGACTTTGTCATAGATTCTGCATCTTAGCAAACCCTTGTGAGTATCGAGGTGCTAGACCACAAAGGAGTACCAGAAGCCATACAGAAGCTCTGTGGTGTGACAGGACATTATGCAAGGTTGTGGGGACCAGTGTGGGTAACTATTGAGCTCATGGGCATAAAGGACAGACACAAAGTATACTTGGCTGACATTGGAGACCAATGCATATTAGGGTTGGACAACTTACTACCGAGGAAGTGTGTAGTTAACTTTGATAAAAATGACGTTTGGGAACAACATAGGCCAAATTCCGCTAAGTGTTGCTGCATCTGTTGATTTGCATGTCACAGCACTTAAGTCAACTACAATGCCCCCTATGTCAGAGAAAATAATTTGGGGTAGAATAAAAGAACATCCCCAAGGAAGTCAGATACTTGTGGAAGACCCATACAGGTCATCAGATGTGAAGATTGGAAGGTCAAGTAGTACCCATAACAGTGGCTAATTTCTCTAAATGTGAGCATACACTTAAGGGAGGGGCATTGTTGGGTGTGTGCCAGGAGGTAGAGCCAGTCAATGTTAAGGCAAGAAATACAACCATAAAGAAAGGACGTCCTCTCCCAGAACATTTAACTGACCTCTATAAGAAGAGCATAGTCCATTTGTCATCATCACAGGCTCTTCAGGTGAGGGAACTTTTGGCGAATTATGCAGACGTCTTTTCAAAAGGAGATAATGACCTTGGCTGCACAAACCTTGTGGATCACACAATAAACACAGGAAATCACCGTCCAATAAAGATCCCTCCGAGGAGAATAGCTCTGGCAAAGTGGCAAGAGATGGAGAAGGTCATGG